TCGCGCAAAGGCATCACGCATGCTGGCAACGTCAACAACATCGAAAATCCGAAGGATGTCGACTTCAACGTTTGCTTGGAGTGTGAAACCGTCCTCCTTCAGCCTTGGCTAAGTGAACTGCCACGTCATTACGTGTTTCCGGGCGAGCCAGTGGATAGCGAGCGTGACATCGACCATGAACTTGATGACAACGACGAACATGCAATTGCATTAGCTGATCAAGAGGCCTGCCTGTATGACGACCCCATCGAAGACAATGATGGAAGTTCCATAGATGCGTTGGCAGAGGTGGAATTTCCTGATTTCTCGGAGATTCCTGTTGAATCATGGCCCTTGCCCCCCAAGCACGCCATTGCAAACCACTTCTTCGTTGGTGAGCTGCCCGACGAACTCTTCAAGGCCACATGGGCTGAGATGCTAATGTGTTCCCTGGTGAGTGTTGCGGCTCAGACACGCATCATCCGTGGAGGCGAGCACCGAATGATCCGTTCCCACTTGATCCTGTTCGACGCGGTCCCCGGTCCTCCTTCTACGTTGTTGCCCTTGAAGCTGAACCGAGACGGAATGTACCGTGATGTGCTTGCTGGGCCCTTTACGAAAGACCCGCTTGTCAAAGTGAAGGAGTATCATTTGGTCCGGCAAGCCATGATCATGGATGTCTTGCAGTTCTACAAGTCCTACAATCGGTTTTATGCCGACGTGTCCATCGACGGGGATCTCATTGCATCCTTGCCAGCGGAAGATGTACTTGACGGCATCATTCAAGCGCTGGGGATAACGAACAAGCAACTGTGAACGGCTTTTCTGGGGACCCCGACGAAGGATCAAGCGAGCATGAGTGTGCTTACGTCGAGCGCAGTGTCCTGTTCACCCAAACAGCATCAGACGTGGCGCCTGTGAATGAGAAGGAAGAGTTGGAGTCAATCAAGAGCAAGATCCACCAAAGAACGCCTCGCACAGACCCAGCAGTCCCTGAATTCAATGTTCACACATCCAACAAGATTTCAAACTACTGTGAAGCTGGCATTGACGCCCGAATGTTTCCACATCTGTTCCCGTGGTTACACCAAAGAACACGACCGGCGAGTCTCAGTGTCGAAGCTGCAGTGTTGTCGGCTCTATCGCCCCCTCAGCTCACGTCGGTTTGCTCAACATCGGTACTTCGTCATGGTGTCCTTTGATCGTTTCGGTCTCGATCGTGGATTCATCAACTCAAACACTTCGACCAAATTCCGACCGTCCATGCATACCCCGGTAGCAAAGATATCGCATGACGATATGCCGAAAGGTCTGGAGAACCAATATTCCCGTCGATTTGGTCGTACTCCAAAGAACAAGTTTGTGAACAAGGCCGTTGGCGCTCTTCTCCGGTCCGTTGAATGCAGCTCGTCGTTTGTGTGGGGCAGCAATGCTGAACGTCGAATGCATCGTCGAGAAGCCTTTGCCACAGCTGATCGCTTTGGCCAGCCAAGTCTTTTCGTCACCATCACGCCAAACGTGGATGGAACTATCACTTTGGCGTATTTGGCAGGAGGCATCCAAGTCAAGTCGCTGTTTGATGTACAGTACCTCAAGCACATGCCTGACAAAGCAACCATGCAACAACTGGCGATGAACGACAACATGGCGTCCACTACTATTTTCGATCGAAGCATCGAGGCGTTCACCAAAGTCGTTGTGGGTTTCGACAAGACTACCGGTCGACCAAGAAAGGCTGGCGGACTATTCGGCCATGTCAAGGCGTACTTGGGAATGGTTGAGACCCAAGGTCGAGGGACACTTCACTTGCACCTTCTTGCTTGGGTTTATGGCGCTCCACGTTCCACGTCGGAGTTCGAGGCCCGATTACAGGCAGACCTCAACTATGAAGCGATGGTGCTGAAGTACTTAGAGGGCATTGTGTCCAATTCGTTGTCCATTGACCT